GGCGCAGCGGCTGGGCCGCCGCCTGGCCCTGCCCCTCCGACGTCGGGGCGGGCCGCGGTGGCCGGCCTGGGCCATGGCTGGCGCCTGGCCCCCCGCCCGCCGGGGCGGCCCGGCCTGCGCCGCGGGCCCCGCTGCCCCCTCGGGGCGGACGGGGGCGGCCCACTCCTTGGACGCGGCGGCGGCGTTATCCTTGGCGGCGGACTCCTGCGCGAGGGCGACGGCGAGGGCCTCCCCCGCTTGCTGCAACTGGGCGCGGAGGGAGTCGACGTTTTGCTGGCGCTCGCCCTTGCGAGCGGCGGCGCGCTGCGCGGCCCTCTTGGCGAGCCCGACCTGCTGCGAGAGGGGCGGCGCGCGGCCCTCCTCGCCCTCGTCGACGCCGGCAACCCCCACGGCGACACGCTGGTCCTTGAGCGCCTCCAGCAGCGGGGGCACCAGCAGCACCTGCAATCCCGGCAGGATGCGCTGGAGGTGGGGGTCCTCGTCGGGGTCGTAGTCGGGCCGAAGGTCCTTCTCGCGCAGGAGGCTGCCGCACTTGCACCGGGGGCCCATGCGCGCGCGCGAGAGCCACTTGCACTTCCCGCGCGTGTCGCGCGTGTCCTGCTCCTTCATCTGCCACTGCTCCTTTTCGCTGGATTGCTGCTCCCGGGCCCCCTAGGCCCTGCCCCAAGTCCATCCGCCCTTGCGCGCGCGGCGCGGCTGGCGGCGGCTGCGCGCGCGGGCCCGGGAACCGCTCGCGGCGCTGCCGGGCGGGGGGCGAGGCAGAAAGGCCGCGCGCTTGGGCCCGCGGCGGGAGCGGTCGGCCACGTCGGCCCCCCTCGGCGGCCGTCGCGAGGCGGCGGGAACCGCGGACTCGAAGCCCCGCGGCAAGGGATTCGAATTTGAGCCAACATGGCAACGGCCTCCTCCTCCTCCTCCTCCTCCTCCTCCTCCTCCTCCTCCTCCTCCTCCTCCTCCTCCTCCCCCTCCTCCTCCCTCCCCCCCCTCCTCCTCTTCCTCCCCCTCCTCTCCTCCTCCCTCCTCCTCCTCCTCCTCCTCCCCCTCCCTCCCCCCCCCCCCCCCTCCCCCCCTCTTCCCCCCCCTCCTCCTCCCCCTCCTCGGGAGGGCTCGAAATTAGACTCCATCGATGATCCTATGTCCATGACCCCTCTTTCAATTAAAGTGCGAAATCCACAGACGCCCGCGCTCCGTAATGTCATAAGCATTCTCTCTAACATTCCACGTGGCACAGTGGCGCTCTGTTGCGGAAGTTTGTCGCGGCGTGCGCCGGCGCTGCGTTGCGCGCGGCTGCTGCGGCGTACGCAGACGCTTTCGCGTGCGCAAGCGCTGCGGTGCACTCGGGCGATGTGGCGCTCGCTGGCGCTGCGCTGCACGCGGCCGCCGCGGCGCGCGCGCGCGCCGCGGTGCGCGCGGGCGCCGCGGCGCGCGCAGGCGCTGCGGCTCACGCAGGCGCTGCGGCGCAGATCGCCGCCCTACGCCCGCCCTCGGCCATTCCGACGCACTCCCAGACGCCGCCGGAGCGAATCGCGGCGTCGCCGCCCCCATCTCCCCCGCCCCCCGGCGGCGGCCGCCATCGCACCGGAGCAGAACGCAGCCGGTTCTTGCCCCCGCGGCAGGACTGTCGGCGATGGGCCCCGTCGCGCTGTCCATCGCCGCGGCGCTTCGTCTCGACCATGGGCGCGAGGCAGCCGGGGCTGGAACTCGTCGCGCCGCTCGACACCGTGGCGCTCGGTTTCGTCTCGCTACGCGGCGCCGCGACGGCCCCAGATGCGCCGCTGGGAAGCGCGGCGCTCGCTGGACTGCGCGTCGCACTCTCGGGCGCGCGGCTGCTGGCGCTGAGCCCCGTCCGCGCGCGACGCCGTGGCGCTTGATCCCGCCGCGCGGTTCAGCGTCGAAGCGTCGGCCCCCGGCGCGCCCCTCGAAGGAGTAGCTCGTCGCGCTGCCCCCCCCCCCCACACGCCCTGGAAATTTAAACCATTGACGCGGCGCGGCCCAGCGGTCTGAGCGAAGTAGGGGCCAGAAATTATTATATTTCACTTGTCGGCCTGTAGATTTTGATTTCCCGGCCCTCATGCCCACGCGATCGCTGATCGCGATGAGGCCGACATCTTCGCGACGCGACACCAGTTGTGCGAATCGACCGACCTTGCGATTTGAAGGGGCGCCCAACACTGCGTCGCGCGACAATTGGACACCATGTCCCGCCGCCTGCAGGAAATCCTTCAGGCGCCAAAGGCGCTCTCTGGGCGGCCAGGGATCGCGGGGGGGGGTCCCACGTCGGCCTGAACGCGCCGAGAAACGACCCTGGGCGCCCGGTGAAACCCAGATCCCCAATCCGTTGCCGAGACGTCTCCACATGCGGCCCCAATGTCTTTTCGGGGACCGCTCGAGCCAACCGAAGGGCCGATGCATCGCGCATCGCGTCGCTTTCCATCAGCAAGTGAAAATGCATCTCAGCGCGCGCGTCGTTCTCGCGGAGCCCAGCAGCATCTTGCGATGACCGCGCTCGCTTGGTTTACGCGTTCCCAGGAGGCAGCAGGCAACGAAACGAAGAGCGCGCCGTGTAATCATTCAATTGAGCGTCTGCGATCGAAAACCCAAACAACTAATGAAAGATAAATATTTCTGGCCCGGCGGAGCGCGCGCCGCGGCGAGCCACTGCCATCGATCGCCCCACGACGGTCGGCGAAATGGAACCAACTGAGCTGCAACGCGCGCCCTTTGCCAAGGGAAAATCCGTCGCCCCTGAAGCAGCCGCGAAGATTATTAGGGGGGGGGCGGGGCCCGCGCCGCCACCCCTCTCGCCGATCGGCGCGTCTTCGGCACCTTGCCGCCCGCTTTTTCTTAGACGGGAACTCGCGGGAGATCGCGCCCGACGCCCCTGGGCGGGATCACCCCGGCATCGCCTTCCGGGATTCTCAGAAAAGTTGGGCCGTCGAAAGGTCGCGGCCCGCGCCGGTGTTTGCAGAGCTGGCTGAAGCGTTTCCGCCGACGCGAACCAAGCCCCAGGGCGTTCGCGAGCCCTGCCAATGCCGCAATCGCCCGTGCGACGGTTGGCATCGGATGTGTGGGCCCAGGCCCCGGCACGGGCTTCCGCGCTCGCACTGGCGGGTCTGGCGGTTAAGCCGCGGGTTCTGCCGTCGACGGGGCCGGCGTCTCTGCTGAACTGGGTCTCGACGCTGGCGCGCCGCAGCCCCTCCCAAGGTTCTGAAGGGAGCGATGGATCAGACTTGACGCGAACAGGGCGGCTGCCTCCGTATGTCAGCAAGACCTCCCACTACTGGTTGTACTCCCCCGCGCGGCCAAGCACGGCGTCGCGCTGGCCATTCGCAGGGTTTTTTGGCTGGCTCGCGACCGTGACTTCAGTGCCTTCCTAGATGGGCGGAGGCGCAAGTGGCGTCGATAAGGCCCTGTTGCGTCGGGTAGCGCTTCGGCATTGGTGGGCCTTATGCTTGTCCTGGTGGGCGCCGTCTCTGTCCCGCGGCCCGTCGACCGGGCGCCCGCGCCACGTGGCATTCTGTGCGGCGGACCCAGCTCATCCAAAGGATCCCTGCAGTGAATGCGTGCTGGAAGGCGGGCCCACCTCATCATGCGGTCCGTTTCGTCAACTCGCGTGAATGTTGTCGCGGGAGATGTTGACGTGGACCGCAGTGGCGACGACGCCAGTGGGGTTTGCTGCGACGCGGGTGTTGCTGAGGTTTCACTTGGTTTCGCCTTGGGTTCCACCTCGGGTTGGCCGCGGCTGCGACGGGTAGGTCCAACGTGCGTTGTTGGCGGTAACCTCTTCCACGGCAACAACTGGGAAGATGGCCGCGGAACCCCAAGAATCCGCAATCGGTGTTTCGGCCCTGGTAAGGGGCGTCTGTGAATGCTGCTGGTGTGCGAGATCCCGTGGACGGACCTGTGAACCGGAGGCGCGATCGGAACGTGCCAGCTTGATGCATCACGGCTGATGAGAGGCGCGGTGGCGTTGCCCTGGTGGGCGTCGGTCGAGACCGTGGAACCTGCTGAGCAACGGCTGGACCCCGTCTGAAGTTCCAGGGAGGAGTACGCGATGATGTAATGGATCTTCTTCTCGCGCAGTTTCATCAGCTCGCCCGTGATCTCACACGGGTCGGAAGGGTACTGCCGGCCGATGCTCAAGACGACCTTGATGGTTGTAGTATGCTTCGTTGTATGCAACGATTGCTTGGTTGACGACTCGGCTGCTCTAGAGTGCAGCGGCACTGGCCTCCTTTCAACCAAGGTTGGTAATATACCGGTTCGTTGAAGTTTTCTTTGAGCGGCCCTTGCCTCATGGCTTGGGCTGCGGCGGTACATGCAGCGCATGGCGAAGGCTTTTTGGAACCATTGCGGCGCGCGCGGGAATGCATGAGAGGATGTGCCATGAATACGTCCGGTGGTGAGGGCCACAAGCACAGTCTTCTCATGCTATCAATCGAATGGAATGCCGTGGCTGCGCCCTGGGTCCGAAGAACCTCGGACCGAGACTGGAAAGGGAAGAAGCGAGGAGGGGAATGAGGGGGGACCAGCAAGAGGGGGACGAGAGGGGGGGGGAGGGAGGAGAAGGGCGACGGAGGCGTTCGGAGGTCATGAGCGACAAACATTGGCTAGACTGCAAATCAAAACCCTTTGCGATGGGGACGTGCACAAGAGATTGGCACGCCCGAAATGGATACGGGAAAACTTGGTACAATGCCCAAAAGCACGTGTTCTCCCAAACCGACAGCAACTGACGTTGGGCAGGCGACCTTCTGTCTTCCGCGGCGACGCCGACAGCCAGCCCTGTTCGGAATGGACAGGAACTGCTGTCGGCATTCGCCCCCCTTCTTTCCGCACCCATGTCGATCGTACTGAAAGAGGGAGGAGAGGGAGGAGAGAGCGGAGGGGAAGGCAAGAGCAGGTGGCGACATCCGGACCCTACCCCCATCAACTATCGAATCTCCTGGATCGATGGGAAGCGGGGTAAGGTCTGGATTTCGCCATCGAGCTCCCTGAATCGTTGATCGGCGAGGGTAGGATTCGGACTTCGCCGCCGAAGGAGACCACCCGCGCCACGGCCACGCAACTCCCGCGCAGCCACTGCCTGGCGGCACGCGCGCCCCGCCCGCCACCGTCAGGGCCACCGGCGCTCGGGCCGTGCCGGCGCGCGGCGCGCCCAGCCGCGGCGGCTACCGCCTCCGCGGACAAAGACGACGACGACGATCGACGATCGACGACGACAACGACAGCGACGACAACGACGACAACGCCGAAATCAACGACGACGGCATCCGACGATTACGGCGACGACGCCGACGAAGACGGCCAACGACGATCGACGACGACGGCAACGACCAAGGCCGACGACAACGACGACGACGACAACGACGACGACAACGACGACGACGACGACATCAACGACAACGATTAGGGCGTCGCCAACGACGACGACCGGTGACGATCGACGACGAAGACGACAAAAACGACGACCGACGACGATGACCGGCGACGACGACGACGATCGACGACGACGACGACGACGACCGACGACGATCCCGACGACGACCCCGACGACGACAACGACGACGACGACGATCGACGACGAGACGACATCAACGACGGCCAACGACGATTACGCAACGACGACGACGAAGGCGACGACGACCACAAAGGTGACTACCGAGGACCGTCGACGACGACGGACGACGGACGATCAATGGCGACGACGACGACGACGACGACGGCGGCGACGACGACCGACGACGACGACGACCGACGACGACTGAGGACGACGACCGACGACGACCGAGGGCGACTACGTCGATCGACAACTGACGACGAAAGACTACGATCGACGACGGCCGACAACAACGACGACAACGACGAAGACAACGACGACGAAGATAAAGGCGACAGCGACGACGACCGACGACGATCAACGACGACGACGAAAGCGACGATCGACGACGACAGCGACGGCGACGATCGACGCCGACGACGACGGTCAAGACGACGACGACAACGACGACCGATGACGATCGACGACGACGTCGACCAGCGACGATCGACGACGACGACGACGAGCGACGACGACGGCGACGACGACGATCGACGACGACCGACGACGATCGACGCTGGCGACAACGACGATCGACGACGACGACGATCGGTGACGATCGACGACAAAGACGACAAAGACGACGACCGACGACGATGACCGGCGACGACGACGACGACGACGTCGACCGACGACGACCCCGACGACGACCCCAACGACGACAACGACGACGAGGACGATCGACGACGAGACGACATCAACGACGGCCAACGACGATTACGCGACGACGACGACGACGACGAAGGCGACGACGACGACAAAGGCGACTACCGAGGAACGTCGACGACGACGGACGACGGACGATCAATGGCGACGACGATGACGACGACGTCGCCGGCGACGACGACCGACGACGACGACGACCGACGACGACTGAGGACGACGACCGACGACGACCGAGGGCGACTACGTCGATCGACAACCGACGACGACAGACTACGATCGACGACGGCCGACAACAACGACGACAACGACGAAGACAACGACAACGAAGATAAAGGCGACAGCGACGACGACCGACGACGACGACGAAAGCGACGATCGACGACCACGGCGACGGCGACGATCAACGCTAACGACGACGGCCAAGACGACGACGACGACAACGACGACCGATGACGATCGACGATGGCGTCGACCGGCAACGATCGACGATCGACGACGACGACGACGAGCGACGACGACGGCGACGACGACGATCGACGACGACCGGCGACGATCGACGCTGGCGACAACGACGATCGACGACGACGATCGGCGACGACGACGAATACGACGAGCGACGACGATCGACGCTGACAACGATGACGGCCCCAAACGACGACAACGATCGACCACAACGACGATGATGATGGCGATCGACGACGAAGACGACGACGATCGACGACCACGAAGACGATCGATGACAACGACGACCTCGACCAACGACCATCGACGATCGACGACGACGGCGATCGACGGCGACCGACGACTTTGGACGACGGCGACTACCGACGACGACGTCAACGACGACGACGGAGACAACGATGACGACCTACGAAGATCGACGACGTCGACAGCCGACGATGACGACGACGACGACCGACGACGACGACCGACGACGACGACGACGACGACGACGGCACCGACGACGATGACGACGACGACGAAGGCGACGACGACGATGATGACAACCGCAACGTCGACGGTTATCGACCACGACGACGGCCGACGCCGACCGACGACCGACGGCGACGACGACGATTACGCGACGACAACGACCGACGACGATTGACGACGACGACGACGACAACGACGATCGACAACGACGACGATCGACGACGACGACGACGACCGACGACCGACGACGAGCGACCACGAACAACGACGGCGACGATGATGACGACAAACGACAGTCATAAACGACGATGATGATGACGGCCGACGACTATAGACGATGATGAACGGCGACAACGACGATCGACGACGGCGACGACCATGACGAACGACGACTACCGACGAGGACGACAACAACGATCGACGACGACACCGATCGACGACGACGATGACGACGACGGCGACATCGACGACAACGATGACGACGACGATGACGACCATGACTACGACTTCGACGACGATCGACGACGAGGTCGGCCGACGGCGACGACGAGGACCGACGACTACGATGGCCAACTACGACGACGACAACGACGACCGACGACGATAAACGACGACAACGACCGACAACGACGATGACGACAACAAGCGACGACGACGGCGACGACGACGACGATCGACGAGAACGACGACCGACGACGATCGATGACGAAGACAACGACGACGACGATCGAAGACAACGACATCGTCGACGACGACCATCGACGACCGACTCTGCGGACGATGACAACCGACGACGATGACGAACGATGACGACGACGATGAGGATGACGACCGACGACGATCGACGACGACGGCGGCAATCGACGATCGAAGACGACGACACCCTCGCAGACGACGACCGACCACGATCGAAGACGATGGCGACCGACAGCGATTGACGACGACGACGACGATCGACGACGACGGTCGACGACGACGACAACGACGATGACAACGACAACGCCGACGACGACATCAACGACGGCCGACGACGATCGACGACGACGTCGGCCGAAGGCGATCGACAACGAAGACGACGCGCGACGACGACAGCGACGACGACGCCGATCGACAACTGAGACGACCGACGACGACAACGACGATCGACGACGAGGACGATCGACGGCGACGGCGACGACGACGATGACGACGGAGACAACGACGAGGACGATGACGACCGGCGGCGACGACGATCGACGACGACGTTGACATCGACGACGATTGACGACGGTTGGAGACGACGAGCGACGACTACGACCTAAGACAGTCGACGATGACGACATTTACCGACGACGACGGCAACGAGCGACGATCGACGACAATCGACGACGACGACTGACGACGACGACGACCAAAACGATCGAGGACAACTCCGACGATGACGACCGACGACGACCCACGACGACGACGACGATTGACGACGACGACGATGGCGACGACGATGGCGACCGACGGCGATCGACGACGACGACAACGATTGAGACGACGACGGCGACGATCGACGACGATGGCGACGACGACGGCGATAACGACGACGACCGACGACCGCCGACGATCGACGACAGGGACGATCGACGACAATCGACGGCGACTGCCGACGACGATCAGCGACGACGACGAGCGACGACGACGACGGCGACGACGACGACGACGGCGACGACGACGACATCGACCGACGACGATCGACGACGACGACGATGGCGACGATCGACGCTGACGACGACGACTGACGGCCGACGACGACAACATGGATGATGACGACTGATTACGATCGACGACGACGATTGACGACGCCGACAACGATCGACGACGATTACGGTTGGCGACGACGACGGCGACGATCGACGACGACGGCAACGACGGCGAGAACGACGACGACCGACGACCGACGACGATCGACGACGGCCAACGACAATCGATGACGACAACAACGACGACCGACGACGACGACGATCCACGACGATCGACGACGACGAACGACGACTGCGACGACGACTACGACGTCCGACGACGATCCACGTCACCCGAGGGCAATCGACGACGGCGATGACGAGCGACGACGATCGACGACGACGACGGCGACGGACGACCGACGACGGCCGACGATCGACGACGACGACGGTTATGACGACCGACGAAGATCGACGACGACGACGACGACGACGATCGACGAGGATGGCGACCGACGGCGATCGACGGCGACGACGATTGACGACGACGACGGCGACGACCGACGACGATGGCGACGACGACGAGAACGACGACCGACGACGATCGACGACGACGGCAACCGACAACGGCCGACGACGACGGCAACGACGATCGACAACGACGATCGACGACGATGCCGAACGACGACGGCGACGGCGACGACGAAGACGACGACGGCGACGATCGACGACTGCGGCGACCGTCTGCGATCGACGACGACGACGCTGGCGACCGACGGCGATCGACGATGAAGGCGATGGACGATTGACGACGACGATGGCGACGATCGACGACGATGGCGACGACGACGGCGAGGACGACGACGACCGACGACCAACGAAGATCGATGACGGCGACGACCGAAGACGACCGACGACGACGACAACGACGATCGACGACGACGTGACAACGATCGACGACGGCGACGACCAACGACGGCGACGGTGACGGCGACGACGACGAAGACGACGACGACCGAGGGCGATCTACGACGACGACGACGATATACGACGACGAGCGACGACGTTCGACGCTGACGACGACAACGGCTGACGACAGAAGATGACGACAACGATCGAGAACGACGTCGATGATGACGACCGGCGACGACAGCGACGACGACAACGACGAGGATCGGCGATCGACGACGGTGGCAACCGACGGTGCTCGACGACGACGACGATTGACGACGACGACGACTATCGACGACGATGGCGAAAACCACGGCGAGAAAGACGACGACCGACGACCGACGTCCGACGACGATCGACGACGGCGACGACCGACGACGATCGACGACGACGAAGATCGACGACGACGAACGACGACGAACACGGCGGACGACGACGACGACGACTACGATCGACGACGACGTCGACCAACGGCGATCGACGACGACGACAACGACGACGAGCGACGACGATCGACGCTGACGACGAGGACGACTGAGGACAACCACGTTGAAGATAACGACGACGTCGATGATGACGACCGATGACGATCGACGCCGACGATGAACGACTACGACTGACGACGACGACGATCGACGACGATGGCGACCGACGGCGATCGAAGACGACGACGATCGACAACGACGACGGCGACGATCGACGACGATGGCGACGACGACGGCGAGAACGGCGACGACGACGATACACGACGACAACGAATTACTACGGCGACGACGACGACGACGACGACTACGATCTTCGAATACGTCGACCGACGGCAATGGACGACGACGACTGCCGACGGACGACGACGACGACGATCGATGACGACGCCGACGATCGACGACCGACGACGAGCGACGACGACGAGGACGATTGACGTTGACGGCGACGATGGCGACCGACGTCCGACGACGATCGACGACGACAACGACGATCGACGATCGGCGACGATGGCGACAACCACGGCGAGAACCGACGACCGACGTCGGCGACAACGACCGACGACCGACTACGATCGACGACGGCGACGACCGACAGCGATCGACGACGACGACGATCGACGAACGACGGCGGCGACGACAACGACGACGGCGACTGACAGCGACGAACGACGACGACGACGACCACGATGGACGACAACATCGACCGACGACGATCGACGACGACAACGACAGCGACGATCGACGCTGACGACGACGACTGACGGCCGACGACAACCGACGACGACGATGAGCGACGACGGTCGACGACGTCGACGACGACGACGACTGTCGACCGACGACGACGACGACGATTGAGCACGACGACGACGGCTGACGATCGACGACGACGTCGACGACGATTGACGACGACGACGGCGACGATCGACGACGAGGGCGGCGGCGACGACGATCGACGACAAAGTCGATCGACAACGAACGAAGACGACGACGACAAAGACGAGGACGACTACGATCGACGACGATCGACCGACGGCGACCAACGACGACGACGACGACGACCGACGACGACGGCGATCGACGACGACGACGACCGATGCTGACGCTGACAACGACTGACGGCCGACGACGACGACGATCGGCGACGTCGATAATGACGGCCGGCGACGATCTACGACGGCGACGATTGACGACGACGACGATCGACGACGATTGCGACCGACGGCGATCGACGACGACGACGATGACAACGATCGAGGACGACGGCGACGATCGACGAAGATGGCGACGATCGACGGCGAGATCGACGACGACCGACGATCGACGAGGACGACGACCGACGACGATCGACGATGGCAATCGACGACGACGAACGACGACGACGACAACGACGATTGACGACGACGACGGCGACGATCGACGACGACGACGAACGACGACGACGACGGACACGGCGACGACGGCGATCGACGGCGATCGACGACGACGACGAGCGACGACGACGAGCGACGACAATCGATGCTGACCACGACGACTGACGACGGCCGACCGACGACGACGACGACGATCGACGACGACGTCGATTATGACGACCAACGACAATTGCAACGACGACGGCGAGAAGGACGACGACCGACGACCCGACGATCGACGACAACAACGACCGACGACGACGGACACGGCGGACGATCGACGACGACGACGACGATCGACGACGACAACGAATAACGACGGCGACGACGACGACGACGTCTACGATCGACGACGACGTCGACCACCGACGATCGACGACGACGACGGCGACGTCTACCGACGACGACGACTACGAGCGAGCGACGACGGGCCTCGGCGGCCGCGGCCGCACGCGGGCGATGCGGCCGTTCGCCGCGGGTGGCGGGTGGCCGCGGTCGCCAGCGTCCCGTGGCGGGCGGCGGCGCGGGTCAGCCCGTCAGGAACCAGTCCTGCGAGAGGGCGGGAGCTGAGTAGAGTGGAGCGGAGTAGGAGGTTAAGGAGAAGGAAGAGGAGGAGGATGAGGAGGATGAGGAAGGAACGCGTTTCATTATTTTCGGCGATGACGGGCGTCATGGGAGGGGCGGGGTGCGGGGGGGGGTATGACGTAACGCCCCCCCCCCCCGCCGTGTGGCTCTGGCACCACAGCCGCGCCCACGCGCACGACGACGATGAGCGACGAGCGCCGAGCGACGACGACGACGACGACGCGAGCATCATGTAGCTGGCGATCTGTCCCATAACGCCTATGTACACCACACTGCTCGCGTGCACCACCGCGCGCGTGTACACCACAGCGCCCGCGCACACCGCATCAGCCGTGTGGAACGCAGCCCTTGTGTACACCACAGTGCTTACGTGCACTACAGCGCTGGTGTACACCACAACGAATGTGTACACCACAACAACCATGTGCAACACATTGCCTGTGGAACACAATCCTAGCGTGCACCGCAGCGCCTGTGCACACCACGCCGTCTGGTTACACCACAACATCCACGTACAACGCTGCGTTGGTGTATACCGCAGCGCCTGCGTGCACAGGACAGGTAGAAGGAGCATGCAAATGAGGACATCTAAACGCCACGCAAGGGAAGTGCTGATAATAGAATGAGACGTTCTTCCCTCGACCCTCCTCCTCCACCTCCACCTCCTCCTCTTCCTCCTCCTCCTTCTCTTCCCTCACCCTTCCCCCCTGTCGTGCGGGTCGGCGCTGCAGCGCATGTGAGCATCTCAGCGTGCACTGCAGTATGGTCGATTGAATCAGTTGCAGCATCCTGGACGCACATGGGAGGAGTTAGGATGATGCGGGCGGACTCGGGAGGACTCGTAGATTCCAGCGGCGCTACTTTCTCCATGAGACTTCCTTTCCAAATCTTGTATGGAACAACTTTTCCTGTGGAGCCCACAGGCGCTCCATTTTGTCATAAGGACTCCTTCTATCATTCTATAAGCTACAAGGGTTCCCCGTTGCACACGTTTGATCTGGTGCACACAGGCGCCGTGGTGTACACAGGCGCTGTAGTGCACGCAAGCATTGTGGTGTACACTGGTGCTGTGTTGCACACGGCTGATGTGGTGTACGCGGGCGCTGTGGCGTACGCAAGCGCTGTGGTGCCCGCAGGCACTGTGGCACACAATGGCGCTGTGTTGCACAGCGGCTGCTGTGGTGTACATAGGCGGCGTGGTGTACACAGGCGCTGTGGTGCACGCAAGCACTGTGGTGTACACACGCGTTGTGGCGCAAATGTCCACCTACATGTTGCTGCTACCCGTCCTCGGTCTTTCCCAGGCACTCCCAAACGCCGGCGGCGCGAAACGCGAAGTCACTGGCCCCCTCCACCCCACCCCACATGATTGCCGTCATCGGCCCGGAATAAATTCGCCGGCCCAATGGGCCAGAGGCGTGCCTAGATCTCCGGTAACTGGTTAACAATAACTCTATACTTCGCGCGCGCGCGGAGCGGCCCCTGGGGGTCCCCGGCTGGAAAGTACCCCGGCAAGGTCCCGGGACACTCCCGGCAAACTCAGGTCAGAGATGGTATTCCTCCTGGGTGCGGCTTCCACGCTCCCCGGAGCGCACCAAGAGGGCCCCAACAGGCTTCCAAGACGGCCCAAGAGGGTTCCGAATTATCGAACGATCGGCCCAAGACGCCCAACACGGCCTCAAGACGGCCCAAGAAACTTCCAAGACGTCCCAAGAGAGCCCTGACCCTTTCCAAGAGAGTCCCAAGAGGCCAAAATCATTGCTTTCCATTGTTTTTGTTCAAGGTTTTTGGCTTCCTTGCCTTTTCGCGTTTCCGACGCTCCAAGACGGCCCAAGAAGCCTCCAAGACGACCCCAAGACGGCCCAAGAGGCCTCCAAGAGAGCCCCAAGACCACCCAAGAGTGCCCCACGACAGCCCAAGAGGCGCCCAAGACAGTCCAAAAGGACCCCAAGACGGCCCCAAGAGAGGCCCAACATGGAGACCACGAACCGAGAATCCGAGCCTTCCGCTCCAAGAGGCCTCCTGGAGGCTCCAAGAGGCTCCCAAGAGGCCGCACAAGGCGACAAGGGGCCCGAAAGAGACTCCAAGAGGCTCGACAACGACTCCCGAGAGTCTCCAAGAAGCCCTCGAGAGGCATCCAACGAGATCCCAATGAACGTCCACGAAGCCTCAGAGCGCCAAAACCATTGATTTCCATTGGGTGTTTCAAGGTTTTTGGCTTCCTCGCCTTTTCGCCTTTCCGACGCTCCAAGACGGCCCAAGAAGCTTCCAAGACCACCCCAAGACGGCCCAAGAGGCCTCCAAGAGAGCCCCAAGACCACCCAAGAGTGCCCCACGACAGCCCAAGAGGCGCCCAAGACAGTCCAAAAGGACCCCAAGACGGCCCCAAGAGAGGCCCAACATGGAGACCACGAACCGAGAATCCGAGCCTTCCGCTCCAAGAGGCCTCCTGGAGGCTCCAAGAGGCGCCCAAGACAGTCCAAAAGGACCCCAAGACGGCCCCAAGAGAGGCCCAACATGGAGACCACGAACCGAGAATCCGAGCCTTCCGCTCCAAGAGGCCTCCTGGAGGCTCCAAGAGGCCCCCAAGAGGCCCCAAAAGGCGACAAGGGGCCCGAAAGAGACCCCAAGAGGCTCGACAACGACTCCCGAGAGTCTCCAAGAAGCCCTCGAGAGGCATCCAACGAGATCCCAATGAACGTCCACGAAGCCTCAGAGCGCCAAAACCATTGATTTCCATTGGGTTTTCAAGGTTTTTGGCTTCCTCGCCTTTTCGCCTTTCCGACGCTCCAAGACGGCCCAAGAAGCTTCCAAGACCACCCCAAGACGGCCCAAGAGGCCTCCAAGAGAGCCCCAAGACCACCCAAGAGTGCCCCACGACAGCCCAAGAGGCGCCCAAGACAGTCCAAAAGGACCCCAAGACGGCCCCAAGAGAGGCCCAACATGGAGACCACGAACCGAGAATCCGAGCCTTCCGCTCCAAGAGGCCTCTTGGAGGCTCCAAGAGGCTCCCAAGAGGCCGCACAAGGCGACAAGGGGCCCGAAGAATGCAAAAAGAAAACTGCAGAATGTTGTCTTGTTCCCTGCGATCGTATTCACGAACCGCCACCTTCCGAAACAGAAGGTTCAGGCGGGCAAAGAATGGTTCCCGCCTGCGAAATCACCCACAGCCAGCCATCCATAAACAAAAAAACGACCCAGCTGCACCCCATTGACAACGATCACACGGGCACTCGACAGCCGTGCACCAATACGGGCCGGCGGAATGAGCGAAACGATTAAATACGAAAATCGGCTCCAGCCGCGTCCGCGCGCGCGACGACGATGAGCGACGAGCGACGAGCGACGAGCGACGAGCGACGACGACGACGACGACGACAACGACGACTGCGGACCAGACTCCTATGCGGATTCCTATGCGGACACCTATGCGGATCCCGATGCGCACAGCGGCAGTGCCCGGAGCGCACTCGGGGGGGGGGCGTTACGTCATAGAAGGGGGGGGTAAGGCGGGGGCCATGACGCCCGTCATGCCCAAAGCAATAAAGAAACACGATCAAGGGGGGTGCGCGGGTGGTGTTTGGACGACGGCTTCCTCATAAGGGCCCAAAGAGACGCACATAAATCCGCCGACCCTGTCGGCGTGTGTGAGGGGCTTGTCCGTTCGAGTCGTCGTCTCCGTCATTCGTTGGTCGTCGTCTCTGTCATCCCCCTTCCCTGCGCCCACCCTTTCCCTGGGCCCGTCGCCGCTCCCCCCCTTTTCCCTCCCTGGGCCCTCCTCCTCAAGCGCTGGCCCCGTCGCCGCTCCCCCCCCCTTCCCTAGGCCCTCCTCCTCAAGCGCGCCAGCCCAAGCGAAATGGAGCAACGTCGTAATTGACTCGAAGGGAAGCCCCTTCCCTTTGATCCCTCCCCCGCCGGGATGGGGGGGGTCCCGGGGGGGTCACGGGGGGGGGTCCTGGAGCGGAGTCCCGTGTCAGATACGACTCCCCCCTGGGGGGTCCCGGGGCTGAAAAAAAAACCATGCTCCAAGCATGCTCCAAGAGGCCCCCAACACGGTCCAAGAGGGCCCTGAATCGCCGAACGATCTGTCCACGACGCCTTGGCGGCCTCCAGACGGCCCAAGAGCACTGCAAGACGCCCCAAGAAGCCTCCATGAGTACTCCCAAGATGGCCCCAAGAGGAAAAAACACCGGATTTCCCATTGGTTTTTGATGCATTTCGGCGTTCTCGCCTCTTCCACTTCGCGACGCTCCAAGACAGCCCAAGATGCCCCCAGACCGCTCCAAGACGGCCCACGAGGGCTCCAGGAGGGACCCAAAACGGCCCAAAAAGCCCCAGGACGGCCCAAGACGCCTCCAAGACGGCCCAAGAGGCCCCCAAGACGGCTCCAAGAGGATGCCCAGACGAGTGACCAGAGCGGACATGTCGAGCCCTCGGCCCCGAGAGGCTCCCAGGAGGAACCAAGAGGCCCCCAGGAGGCCCCCAAGAGGCCCCAAGAGGCCCCCAAGAGGCCCCCAGGAAGCCCCAAAAGGCCCCCCAAGAGGCTCTCAAGCCCCCAAGAGGCCCCCGAAAGCGCTTCGAAGAGACCCCAAGAAGCATCCATGAAGATTCTGACCCACGTCAGCATCGTTGTCGTCGCCGCCACCGCCGCCGTCGTCGTTCCCCTTCAGGGTCGGCGGCACAAGCCGTAAGGCCTTCGCAATGTTAACCAAATCAAGGATATCCAAATAATTTTACATATTTCATGGATTTCGTCTTTCCCCCAGTTCTCATATGCTCCAATATTCTAGCGGAATTCGAAGATCAAATGTATGTATGACGATTTTCGTCTCCTGATCCCTGCCATAGGAGCGAAGAGCAGGAGCCTGCTCGCCTATTGCAAGACGTCGTTTGCGTGATGTGGGCTCTCACAATTATAATGCATGATGCCGCAACTCTAGACTTGGGCGGAATACGGAGGGCACTGGGAGGGCCAGAGTGTGGGGATGATGGGGGGGAGAGGGAGGGAGGTCGAGGGTGAAGGGAAGAAGGGGGATGCAGAGTGTGGGGATGATGGGGGGGAGAGGGAGGGAGGTCGAGGGTGAAGGGAAGAAGGGGGATGCCTCCTTCTCGTCCGATGTGTCCCGAGGGAAGGAGGGATGCGACCAGAGACACCCTGTGCCGTCCAGGCCCCCTCGGCTTGGCCCTCATGCGCTAGGGGAGGCGGGGAGGCAAACTGCGAAGAGCCTCATCCGTCTATTCCATCCTCATCCTCTTCCACTCGCCCCCCCCCTCCCCCTTCCGTGGGATCTCCCCAAGCCCCCCCTTCCCCCATCGTCACGCCCAAATTCACATCAGCACAACGCAACCTTGTCGTGTGTATTCATTGCCGAGCTGCTGCCACCACTGGACGGGGCATTGGACGCCCCGCGCAGTGTTTTCCGAAGCAGAAGCAGAACAATCAGGTTCCCCGAATCCTTGACATCCGACAGATACTTGATGGCCTTGTCCGCGTGCTTCTCATGCGAAACATCTGGATGGTGTTCCATGACGAGCGACCTGAAAATCTTCCTCCGCTCCTTGACGTCTTTCATCTTGAGCGACTTCAACTCCTTTTCGATCCTCAGCGTGAGCTCGCGAGCCTCTTCATCGTCCGGATGCTCCGCGAGCCTCTTTTTTTTCTGCGGAAGGGAAGAGGGGAAAGGGAGGAGGAGAAGGCTGAGGAGAGAAAGAACAACAAGAGAAGATGCAGGACAACCGGCGAGCCTCTGAGTCGGAACATGCGACGCCGTCCACCCTTTCAAGGCATTGCCCAACTGCGCCGACTGGTTCTCGGTCAGACAGCCTTGATGCTGTTTATGTCGCATCGACCGGACCCACTGCCCAAGCTTGAAGCCGCACTCTCCCTTGGCGGTCAGGCTTATGTATCCTGGCCCGTTTTTGTCTACGTACTTCTTGAGAACATCAAGCCCGACATCGAACTTCTCGCCAAGCTGCCCAATCGTCATGAGCACGCCAGCGCCCCTCAGCCTCGCAATTCTCTCCTGGTCTAGGAGGCCAAGTTCGGCGCGTTGCTTCTGCTCTAGCAACCACTCGCCGACAGGGTACCCGAATTGCACGTGGCTGTAGCTGATCCAGCGCCCCTTTCTATCCTGACTTGCCCTCAGGCGTCCGAACTCCATATCCCACCCTACGCCTAGCTGCTTGACCCCCCGTGCCACTGCCAACTCGGCCAGTTCCTCAGACATGTCAACATGGATAGGAGACTCGCACTGCATGCACCGCTCGGGTTGCCCCTCCTCCTCCTTCTCCAACCATCATCATCCTCGCCTTCTTCCTCCTCCTCCTCCTCCTCCTCCTCCTCCTCCCTCTTCATTCCTGCCGTTTCCACCCTCCCCTCTCCTCCCGATCCTCCTCTGCCTCCCGCCTCCACGGAACCCTACGAAGGCAATCGCTTGATGTACTTGCAAAGGGGACGCTTCTAGAAGACAACGAACCAGCCATCAGACTGCCGCGGGAAGAAAACCATGCTGGACTCCAGATCGCCCGAATCACTCTACGCACAAGGCAGATATGAGGAGCATCGCATGGGCACCAGAAACAGCAGGCAAAGGAGGAGTCGCACTCGTAGTGAGAAATAAAAGAATAAGTAGCAATAAGAGTAGCACTCGTAGTCGTAGTCGTCATCGCAGTAGTAGCTGTAGTAGCAGAAGTAGCACTAGGAGCAGAAGACAAATAAGCAGTAGCAGCAGTAGTAGAAACAGTAGTAATAGTAGTACTAATAATAATAGCAGTAGTAGTCGTAGTAGTAGTTGTAGTAGAAGGGAAAGCAGAAACAACAGTAGTAGCACAAGTAATAATAATACTAGTTGTAGTCGTAGTAGTAGTACCAGTAGTAGTACACATCCTGGGAGTGGTACTGATCGTAGCCCGAATCGTAAACATAATAAGTGTAGCAGTCTTAGTGGTAGTACCACTAGAAATAATAGTAATAGTAGTCGTAGCCGTCGTAGTAGTGATCGCCGTAGTGGTAGCCGTAGTAGTCGTAGTCGTCGCGACCGACATAGTGGTGGTAGTAGTAGTAGTGGTGGTGGTAGTCGTAGCAGTAGTGCTAGTAGAAATAATAATATTCATAGCAATGTTCGCATTCGTGTTCGTAGTAGTGGTCGTAGTAATAATGAGAGCAATCCCAGTCGTAGTAAGAGTAGTAGTAGTCGTAATCGTAATCGTAGTCGTAGTCGTAGTAGAAGTAGTCGCTCATGTAGTAACTGTGGTACTAGTACTAGTAGTGCTAGTAACACTAGCCGTACTATTAGTACTAGTAGTAGTGGTAGTAGTAGTAGCAGTAGTAGTAGTAGAAGTAGTAGCAGTAGTCGTCGTAACAGTAGTTGTAGTAGTAGTAGTAGTCGCAGTAGTCGTAGTAGTAGTCGTAGTAGTAGTAGTAGTAGTCGTCGTCGTAGTACTAGCAGTAGTCGTAGTAGGAAAAGTCGTAGTCGTAGTCGCAGTGTTCGTAGTTTTCGTAGTCGTAGTAGTAGTAGGTAGTAGTAGTAGGTAGTAGTAGTAGTAGTAGTAGTAGTAGTAGTAGTAGTAGTAGTAGTAGTAGTAGTAGTAGTAGTAGTAGTAGTGGAGTAGTAGTAGTAGTAGTAGTAGTAGTAGTAGTAGTAGTAGTAGTAGTAGTAGTAGTAGTAGTAGTGGAAATAGCAGTAGTAGTAGTAGTAGTAGTAGTAATCGTAGTACTAGTAGTCGTAGTAGTAGTAGTAGTAGTAGGAGTAGTAGTAGTAGTAGTAGTAGTAGTAGTAGTCGTGGTGGTAGTACTGGTAGTAGTAGTAGCAGTAGTAGTAGCAACAGCAGTGGTAGTAGTAGTAGTCGCAGTAGTAGTGATAGTAGTCGTAGTAGTCGTAGTAGTAGTAGTAGTAGTAGTACAGAAGTAGTAGTAGTACAGAAGTAGTGGTAGTAGTGGTAGTGGTAGTGGTAGTGGTAGTGGTAGTGGTAGTGGTAGTAGTAGTAGTAGTAGTAGTAGTAGCAGTAGTATTAGTAGTAGTAATAGTAGCGGTAGTGATAGTAGTAGTAGTCGTAGTAGTAGTAGTGGTGGTAGTACCAGTACTAGAGTAGTGGTAGTGGCACGAGTAGTAGTAGTAGTAGTAGTAGTAGTAGTAGTAGTAGTAGTAGTAGTAGTAGTAGGAGTAGTAGTCGTACTAGTAGTAGTAATAGTACTAGTACTAGTAGTAGTAGTAGTGGTAGTAGTAGTAGTTGTAGTAGTAGTAGTAGTAGTAGTAGTAGTAGTAGTGGTAGTGGTAGTAGTAGTAGTAGTAGTAGTAGCAGCAGTAGTAATAGTAATAGTGGTCGTAGGAGCAGTAGTCGTAGTAGCAGTAATAGCAGTAGTAGTCGTGGTAGCAGGAGTAAAGACAATGTTAATACTAGAAAAGGTTGTGGTCATGGTCGTAGTGACCGTGTTAGCGATTTATTAAAAACGAATTATCCGAGTAACTATAGCCGTAGCGTTGGCCGTAGTGGTAGTAGCCGTTGTGGCAGTAGTCGAAACACTGGTAGCAGGCTAGGTGGGTATAGCCCCCTCCTCTCCCGCCTCTGTATTGACGTCGGCCTTCGTTTGGCCTATGAAAACAACTGTCCTCATGGATACTTTTACCTTGGAACCTGGAGCCCCCGCTTGAATATTGAAGAGTGAAGATCTCAGGGGGCTTATGCACGCTCCGTGTTTCCTTCTCGCACATCTACCTATAAATCGGCATATGACCATACCAAAACAAATGTATGTGTGAAATTCGTTTGTCGATGTATGTTTTTAGTTCAACAATATTATTCTGATGATTCCGCCCGCAATAAACCTGACCCCCCGATCTCTGGTCAAAGAAGCAATGTGGACGCTCTTTGACAAAACTCACCCAGGACGTCCACGCCTTTGAGGATCCTTCCCAACCCGTGCAAACGGCCAGCTGGCGGTGCCGAGAGGCCCCCAAGGCGGTCCAAGAGGACCCCGAAAGTTCCAGGAGCGCCCCGGGAGGGACCCAAATGGCCGCATGACGGCCCAAAAAGCCCCCAAAACGCCCCAAGAGGTCTTTAGAAGGACACCTTCGTTACATCCATTCTTCGAACAAACAAATATAACTCTCGCTGACACGCTTTGTTACTCACATCAGCGTCTAAATCCGTCCAAAAAATCCCCGACATCGCCCCCAGACGGCGCCGGAGGCCCCCGCGAGGCCTCCAAGAGCGCCCCCAAGTGGCCTCAAAACTGCCAAGAGAGCCCCAAGACGGCCAAGACAGGGGCCCCCAAGAAAGGCCCAATAGAGCTATAGGGGACTTCGAAGAATGCCCAAGATGGCTCCAAGACGGCTTCCAAAAGGCCCATCGCAATTTGAAGCTGGCCAGGAGGCCCAACCAGATGCTTGCCGAAGGCGACGCATGCGCCCAACTCTGTTGCGCCGAATCAGCGATAGTCCCAGAAGTAGGACGGGGCCGCGAGAGCGGCGATACATCGCAAGAGTAAGGGGGATGCCTCTCTGTCTCGGTGTATGGTAGTGCGTCTCAGAGAGGCACAGCCAAATAGGTGGCCGATCGCTGGGCCGATCTGGCCGCGGACAAACGCTCGACACATCTCGCCTTTGCGCTTCCTCCTTCAGAGTCGGGGGGGAGAAGACGAAGCGCGAGCCCGCTACCGACCTTACTCAGCAAAACAGATATCGTACACAAGGTAGGCCGCAGCCGGCGGGCTCAACCTAGGCAGGTTATCCCGCGGGCAAGTTACCCCGCAGGCAAGTTACCTCGCAGGCAAGTTACCTCGCAGGCAAGATACCCCGCAGTTTACTACCCCTCAGACGGCTCAGATGGTCTCGTCTGGCCCGCCCTGTAGGGAGTGTGTCGTTTCAAATCGTGTTTGGAAGCTTGCGCCCCCCCCCCCCATGACTCGTAGGAACATGCCTTTGTCGATGCCCCCACTGGTGTGGCCAACCGCAGTCATGTCGCGAGTGTCACACCACTGCGCACAATGCACGATACCTCGCATCACTTGCCGCATCCAACTAATGTGACCCAAAAGTGCGCATTCCGCCGGCTTCGTTCAGTCTTTGCTTGACAAAGACCTGAAGACGGATTCAGCATCAATGGTCAAAGTGACCTTCATGCTCCGGCCGCCCATCTCAAGTATATCCTTCAGTTGAGTGGGTGTCGGCGGCCCTGCGTGGAGTTCGTCCAGCATGACAGTCGCGGGGTAGCAGTCCTCAAAATTGCGGGCTGCTGCTAGTGTTTCCGCTGAGTAGCTCGAGCGGACTTGCAGGCGATGAGACTCGCAGTGCGCGTCGACAAAACGGACGACGGGCTGGCCAACGCGCGCGCGTCCACGCCTTAGCAGGATTGCCCCGCGAATACCAGTGCCTTTGACTTCGTCATCGGCATCGCCGTTCAGGCGGCGGCAGCCAGAGTCGCCATGCAGATCGAGCTCGCCCGTTGGCGTTGTCGCTTGATATGCAATCTTCTTAGGACAGGCGCGCGGCTTCCTGGGAATCGCGCCAAGTCGCCGCACTTGCATATCGGTCGGTTCTCGGGCGCGCTGCGACGATGCAACGCATGCCATCAACCGCGCTCGCGCGACGAGAGCGCAAGCCAGCGCGCCTCTGGGGCTGACAAAGAAATCAGCGACCAGCTTCGATGCTTCAGCCTCTGCATTTGCGCTGGTGAGTTCACGATGCTGGATGGAACGGAGCTGTTGTAGATATTCGCCTTGGTCAAGAATGACATTGCCGTCGCTGGCCTCGGCGCGGCGCAGTTAGCGCGCGCGTATTTGTTGACTCTACATCTCCCAAAAGTACCCTCAACGCACTTGACGCTCGTCGATGGTGTTCTCGGTGCCGGCCACGTTTATATCATCGACATGTTTGGCGGCGCGAAGGTTGGGGCTGGCATGAGACCGTCGCCCCCCGTGGTCTTCCTGCACTTCGGTGAGAAGGTTATCGGTGCATCTTTGGTGCCAGTGCCTGGATTAAGGCGGCGTAAACAGTGCCTTGACTCATCGTGCCGGGCGAATGCCGGAAGAGATCTGAGCGCAGATGCCGCGCCCAATGGAGCACGCCAGACGTTCCTTTTCACCGGTTGCTTCAGCGAGCTCTTGATGAGTAAGTCCCTTCAGGGAGGCCACGTCAATGTCA